AAACTTTTTGTTTTTATTGCATGGTGTCCATGGTAGCCGTTCTTTTCCTTTCCCCCCCCCTTGATTGAAACCGACTGTCGATTGAAGGAGCGGAGAGTTCCTTCCTTTGAGAACTGGAAGAAACTTGAAATTCGATTTGAAATGTTCGAGTCTAGTTTCTTCACGATATTTACCCACGGTTTGAACTTATAAGAGAATTCTTAGCCACTAGGTCAGCATACCGCAAGAATTATTATTTCAATATCTGTAGGACTGAAGTTGTTATCCTGGTTGTGTGGTACAACACAATATTGAAATCAGCATCACACGTGCACAGAGCAGACGTAGCGCTATCTGTGTTTTTACTTGGGAACTTACTCTAAATGACTGTTTTACCGACTGAGTAACAAAGAGCTGCTGTCTATGGTTTTTAAGTTACGAACTACTGTTTCTCTTTCCCCGTAGTCCCCCTTCCCCCACATGACCTTACAGAAGATTAAAGGGGAAACATTTGCGTTTTTGTATGTATGTAATGTTTTCACAAAAAAGCTACTGGACCGATTTCAAAAATTATTTCACCATTAGGAAGCTGCATCTTCACTGAATGACACAAGCATATTCTATTTTCAAAAAAACATAGGGATCCCTTATAAAAATGCAATAATATAACCCAAGGTGTGAAAAAATTATCCATAAAAAATCTGCCATGCTGCTGCTGAGGAAACTATTTTTGATAGAACAAAAAATGTTGTACAGTATTATAGAACGTATCAATCGTAGTTGTAACGTTACCTAGAAAAATATTGTTTCACCCATTGGCATTTGTATGTTGGCCTATCCCGAGTCGGACTCCAACACATGAAATTATTTTGCTGCCACAAATTAATGTGTATAGGAAATATCTAAGATACTGAAGATATACAAATAAATCTCTTCTCTAATATTATAGAAGAAAGATTGGCATTTTTAATGTTTGTTTTCATTTTTAACAACTTATTAAGCCAAAAATTTCCGGACTGAATAAAAAATTCTTTCATTACCCATTTGAAATCAAGATTTTTTCAATACCTGTATTTTTAAATTTACTAATGTTTGACGTAAATGATGTTTCGAATTTTAAAATGTATTAGATATATATAAGTTTTAAAGTTAAATCTGTATATTCATTAGATTACGAATGTAAGTGTGTATCTCATAATCTGAAGGAAAGTAAAACAAAGAAAACTAAGTAAAATAAAACTTTTATCTTAACAATAATATATCTATGGGTAGTCCGACATAGTAGACTTTCAACAACGAGATCGGTATCTACGCGAGTGAAACCGCAGGGCATAGCAAAACAGTTAAGCAAACCTTAGTAACACATAAATATAAATATATGTAAAGTGTACACCGTTATGTGCACATGCTTCGCCACTAGAATTCCCTGTCTACGAGTATGTACAATTCAATTTGACATACAGGCGCTACACTTAGCTATTGGAAAAACTTATTTTAAATTTTTATGCAACCTCTTTTATTGAGTAGTTTTAATTAAAGAAAAAACTTTTTAACCGGATTAAAGTTATGTATTATTATAAATTTACAATTATGTAACATAATTTTAAATTTATCCGACGTTTCGCGTGCTTTAGCGGCAGGATCTTATGCGTAAAATCAAATGGACCGGTTCTCGAAAACAGCGGCGTGGCAGCGGCGCGAGGGCGGGTAACGAGAGGTGCAATCGCCCGCAAAATTCGAGGCAGCAGCCTTACAGCGTGCCCACTCAGTGTCACCGTGACCACGCATCTGGTTAAAAAGTTTTTTCTGTAAATGTGTAAAGGTTATGTCAATAAAAGACAATAGTTTTAATTAGTTTTAACTCTTTCTTGATGATTAGTTACTTCAGAGGTATCAAGAAAATACATACTAAAAATGACTTCAGCCCATTTATAACAAGTAAAATAGCAACTGCATTTTCATAAAATAACTTTAATTAACACCACGGGATACTTTTAAAAACTGAATATATAATGTTCACTGACTGTTACACAGCATTGCTTTTATGAAGTCATAAAATTTTTAACACAAACTACGACCCCGACATTTTTTTTAAAAAAAGCTAAAAATATAGGTAGACTCTCAGACCCAAGCAACTTACATAATTCGAATGAATATTATGTAAATTGACTGAAATATTATTGAAGCGGCAAGTTTTCCAAAATTCACGCGCAGGGGCCAGATGTATTGCCTTAGTTTAGACACAAATAAACCGAGGTAATGTTTGTTTTAAGATGTAACTGAAAACAAAAACACACAAACTTCGCTGTTTCAAATCCTAAGTCTTCACGTTTTCTACTCATCAGCAACATAGTTCACAGACAATATGAAAGGACGACGAGCCGACCTGTTTAATAAAACCTACTTATATTAGGTCCTTACATATGAAATTGGCGTTTTGTATGGGAGGAACAAAAAGTCGAATATTTTTAAATATAATATATTTAATTAATCCAAGTTAAACAATGGTTCATACCATTGTTTTCTATGCACTTTTGCCATCTCATAGGTAGTTCATTGATCCCTTTACTAAAAAAACCAGTCGGACGGGAATCAATAAAATCTGTGAAGGCGATTTGGACTGCCCCATCAGAGTTAAATTTTTTCCCTTGCAAGAAATTGTCCAAATTTCGAAAAAAATGGTAATCTGTTGGAGCAAGGTCCGGGGAGTACGGAGGATGACTTAGACATTCCAATTGAAGCTCTTCTAATTTGGTAGCCGTCTGTTGTGCAGTGTGTGGTCTAGCGTTGTCGTGAAGAAGCAGTGGCGTGGAGCGATTGACCAGCCTAGGTTGTTTAACCGCTAGCTTTTCCGTCATGGTTTGCAATTGCTGACAATAGACATCAGCAATAGACATCAGTAATAGTCTGGCCAGATTTGACAAAACTGCAATGAACAATACCGGCACTAGTCCACCAAACGCTTACAAGTAACTTTTTTGGGGTTAATTTTCGCTTGGGGCAGGATTTGGCTGGCTGGCCAGGATCCAACCATTGCGCAGAGCACTTCCGATTATCGTAAAGAATCCATTTTTCATCACAGGTTGATTCGGTTTAAAATACCTTCATTATTGTGCCAGTTCAGTAATGTAACGCAGCAGTCGACGCGCGTTTGCCGGTTTGCTTCAGTCAATTCGTGAGGTACCCATCTTTCAAGCATTTTAATTTTCCCAATTTGCTTCAAGTGAATTAAAACAGTTTTATCACCAACACCGCAGCCTGCAGCTAACTCGGACGTGGTTTGCGATGGATCCGCTTCCACAATAGCCTTCAATACTTCATTATCAACTTGGGTCTCAGGCCGGCCACGGGGCTTGTTCTGCAGGTCGAAATTTCCAGAACGAAAACGTTGGAACCAAAAACGAACTATGTTTTTTTTGCAACATGACCGCCATACACATCATTCACCCTTCGAGTCGTTTCCGCAGCACTAGTGCCACGGCGGAACTCGTACTCGTAATTAATGCGATACTTTAAGGTCAGTACTCACATACGGTATTACTCGATCGAGCTAAACTGTCGAGTAAAACCCATGGCATGGGCTTTCGTCCACACATTGAGCATTGATCTATCGAGTGAGGATCGCCGTTCAGTATTCACCGAACCGTTCGAGCCAAAGGATGTCTGTGCAACAAAGGAGACGGTGGCTGTATTTAGCAAGTCTTACAGTGCTTTATAAGAAAATCAAAGAAAATGAAAAGAAAAAACGTTAAGCACAGCTTGTAATTTATCATAACATTCATTTCTTTTATTTCTGTGGGAGTAATCTTTGGACTTGACATTCCATAAACACTCACACTGTCTATATGTGTTGAAAAAGTCTTCTATAGCGCTTTTGGAATAAACTCGCAAATCCATTTCTCTTAAAAACACGTGTTTCTATCACTAAAAACAATACCAGACTGACGCTCGCCTCGCGCCACTCGCAGTCACGTACACACGTTCGAGTCAAGATTGACGGCTCGCTTCGAGTAGGTTCGAAGGAAATTACTTTCATTTAATACCATCGAGCCGGCTCGGTGCGAGCCTTTGAGCTGTGAGTTTTGCGGTCCACACGTTGATTTTTACTCGACTTCGAGTAATACCGTATGTGAGTACTGACCTTTAAGTTTTCCCTTTTGTAAAATGAGTCACGCAAACAGAAAAAACAGAAGAAAAAAACAAATGAATGACGGTCATCGAAGCACAAATACATGAGTAAATAGCTGTACAAATTTGAATTTGGAATTTCTTACCAAAGAGGAGAACATCGTGATTAAAGTGGCCAGTACGAAATACGCCAATTTCATATGTTCCTTACATAATATATTATCATATTACATATTAATAAAAGTTACTACATTATAATAAAAGTTTCATAGATTACTGTCACTGGCCACTTTTCTGAATTTTTTATTAAATTTTTTATAAAACTATATTTTGTAGACATATAATTAACTTGTTTATATCATTGTAAAGTTACAAAGAGCACGAATGTCTTTTAAATTTTTTTTATAATGAATATAATAATATATAACGAGGATAATAAAATGTATAAAAACAATGCAAGTCAATAAAAATAAAAGAATAAAGCTCAGAAGTTAGACACGGGCTTTATATTGTAATACAATAACATAAATCCGTTAATTTACTGTCTGATCTTTTTATTTTGTAGTAGATTATAAACCACATATGCACACGTTTTGTTAAAAAATAATATTTATACATGGTAATTAAAATTTAATTTTTGTTTATATACAATTTACACATTAAAATCTACACATTTATTTAGTATAATATAATGTATTATAGTTTCATTTAAATATGTATCTGGTTTCCGATTGCGATGTGATAATCTGTATTAATTTCACTGCAATGCAATGTAATCATAAAGCGGTCATGACGAATACGGCATGCGGTGTGCGCGGAGCGGCAACCTCGCAAGCGGCACGTGTGACGCCGAGACGCGCGGCATTCATTGCTCATGCACGACGCAAAGCAAGATGGCGGTTCGTGCCGTTGATTTAGTTCGTATTATTGAACAGTATCCTTGTATATACAATAACAGAATAGCGGAGTATTCTAGAAAAGAGGACACGGATCAAGCTTGGAGCGAAGTTTCACATTTAACGAACACATCTGGTGAGTCATTTGGTTATACTTTATTGCGTTGATGCAGAAACGCGATTGTTCGGCGCGAAATTTAAAACCAAGTATGTCAACTGTCAAGTATTCTTGTGCACGAAGTACGAAATAGCGCATCATTTTTATTCTCTGGTCACAAAAGAAAAAAAAATAGATGAGGTAAATAACGGTATTATTATTAGTTATTATAACTATTATTTATTTATGTTTCGCTGGAAATCGAACTAGGTTATAAGGAGTGCGTTTTTCTCTGCCACAGCACCGTTAATCTAAAATTATTAATTAAGTATTCATGTAGGTTGATAGTTAAAAAAAAATAATAATAATACTAGTAATAAGACTTTGAGAGGTTAATATAAAAAAACGCTTTAATCGAATCTGGTTGTATCAAATTGATTTTCCTTGCATAATACGTGTTCCTTGCATAAGTTTAAATATTAGAGGCGTAGAATCACAATTTGAAAGTTTTCAATATTATTAAACTATAGAAACTATATAAATTATAGGATTTTTATATAGATTGGATTTTGGACTAGAACTAGTTCGCGCTATCCCACCATGTTTTTGAAATCTGTACACCATACAGTATAATTGTTTATTTATTTAAGCAACACTATAGATGCAGCTTGCGGTGCTTTATCCTTTCCTTATTTCTATTCTATGTAGTCCGCAATAAGTACGTTTAATTTCAGTACCCGAATGTCAAGTTAAATGGAGGAATATAAGGAATGGTTTCGTTCGAAGTCTCAAATCATTACCTCGTGGTAAACAGAAAAAGTTATATCACTTACACGAAGAATTGCAGTTCTTAGTTCCGTTTATCAAGACGGTTGTACCAGAGACAAAAAATCCCACATCAGATGACGAACCTGTGGAAATCGAGGTAGAGCCACTAACTATAGAAAAACCATCGACAAAAGTTTCTAATTTCAAAAGGCGTAAAATAAAAAAGTATAGATTAGAACGACCTGATTTCTCCTGGATTAAAAATATTAAAAATGAAAATCCTAGGAAAATGTTTTTACTAAGTCTCTTACCTGATGTGGAGAAGTTGACGGACGAGCAAATGCGCAAGTTTAGGATTAAGATGTTATTGTTACTTGAGGATATACAGATGGACACAGAAGGATAATTTTATATAAAAATATATTTAAAATGGTTTTGTGTATATATGCAATGGACATTTTATATTTATAGGAGATAAGGTTGTTATTTTCTTAGTAATAATTTTATATGACCATAGATAGTAACTTAGTTATAGGCCATTATTTATAAGAACTAAACCAGTCTCATTACACTCTTAATCCAAAGTACTTTTGTATCTCTTTCTGTCAAATTGTTAGAGCACTATTTAGAGACATTAAGTTCGGATTAATACCTGCAGCTGAGTTTCATGATCGGACGTCGAGGCAGAATACGAAATTCCACCCGTATCACCTCGACGTCCGCCGTTCCACAACTGAGCGTGTCTCAAGGCAGTTTTTGCCGCGCACCACCACTTTGTGGAATCAGCTGCCCACTGAAGTATTTCCTTAGGGTCCTTCAAGAAAAGAGCGTGCCAATTCCTAAAAGGCCGGCAACGCACTCGTGAGCCCTCTGGCATTGAGAGTGTCCATGGGCGGCGGTATCACTTAACATCAAGTGAGCCCCTGCCCGTTTGCCCCCCGTTCTATTAAAAAAAAACTGGCCCCAAATTATTTTCCAAATTTTTTTTTTTTCAGTCGAGTTTTTCAATCAATAATTTACTGTGAAACCATACTTGTAGATTAATTTAGTATTTAACAAACATTAAAGTATATCAAATGAAAAGTCGTTTAAAACATTTTTTTCAAAGTTTCTATTGTGGGGGCCCAACTCTTTTAGAGGCCCTGGGGCTATATCCCCGGTTGCCCTCTCCTAAATCCGGCCCCGCAAATTGTGGTTTTGCTATGCCGGAAAGAGACAGATGGGAACTTTAGTTCTAACGGTGCAATAAGTCTGATTTAGTTTTTATGAATAATGGGCAAGGGATATTATAATCTTAATGAATAAAAATTATCGATTCTGTTTTATTTTCTACTACTACTACTTTTACTCTATAGCTTAGTACTCAAACACAGTGTGGTGTTAAAAAAAATACCCTAATGCAAATATTGCCCGTGCAAGTGTGGAGATGTCTGTAACATTTTTTCAACACCTTTTTTTTAAATATTCCAACTGATAAATAAATTGTACACATTAGGTTATCATTCCTCTATCAGTACCCCACTTAATAGATGGTGACAGTGTGGTTATTTATAAATATATTAGCTGACCCGGCAAACGTTGTTTTGCCTTGTATATTATTTCTAAAAAATAGGGGTTGTATGTATTTCTGTACACGAGCAGTGTTGGCCTAGTGGCTTCAGCGTGCGACTCTCATACCTGAGGTCGTAGGTTCGATCCCCGGCTGTGCACCAATGGACTTTCTATGTGCGCATTTAATATTTGCTCGAACGCGGAAAAACATTGTAAGGAAACCGACATGTCTTAGACCCAAAAAGTCGACGGCGTGTGTCAGGCACTGGAGGCTGATCACCTACTTGACTATTAGATGTTAAAATAATCATGAAACAGGTTCAGAAAATCTGAGGCCAAGACCTAAAGAGGTTGTAGCGGCAATGATTTTTTTTATTTCTGTAAGCTGTATCAAAAAAAATTAAAACAAAAAATCTCTAAAAAATAAGAAGTAAATTTTTGGGGCGGACACCAGTGATAGCACTTAGGGTTTTGAAAAATAGATAGTAGCCGATTCTCAGACTTACTAAATATGCATATAAAAATTCATAAGAATCGATCGAGCCGTTTCAGAGGAGTATGGGAACGAACATTGTGACACGAGAATTTTATATATGAGATTTTTTTCCTGCTTCATTCACTAACCGATAGTAAGGCGACTACTTGAACAATGCACCTGTGAAATGATTTTGATAATCATTTCATTTATGAAGACTTAAATTCAATAAAACAGTTAAATACTGTGTCTGTAGCAGTTAAACAGTGTAACTGTCTCCTGGGCACTAACTATCCGAATGAACCTTCGACATGGGATGTCAATTAAACGGAGTGACAAAGGCGCCATTTTCAAGTAATTGCAGCGTTCAAGATTGTACCCACATTTGTATGCAAATTCCTACAATTTGTCCCAAGAGTGAAGAGAAAGAGCTCTTTGGAAAACTTTTCACATCTCATTCTGTCTAAATTTGGTGATTGACGGCGGTTACTCTTGTGTTTTACTCCCAAGAGTATTTTGTTTGAATGTTTAACCAAGAAGATTGCATGGGTCAAATGGACTGCGCGTCGACACGGTAAGAATACGGTTTTGTATATGTCCCACACATATACAATACCTTAGGTTCTGAATATACAAAAACAATATATTCATTCTTTATATTGTTTATTTTTCTTGCGTGTAGTTTCCCTTACTTTTACTTGAAACTGGAGTTTAGAGAATTCATACTAAGGACTCGTTTTCGCGAGGCAATTTAAACGATGTAATTGCTCATGGGCCGCCAGACTAGGTAAAGGATTCAAAAAGTCAAAAATCATTTATTCATGTAGGTAACAATGTATCTACACTTATGAACGTCAAAAAAGAAATGCTTCTAATTTTACATTTACTGCCAGTTCTCAAATCAAGGACGTATAACGGAAGAGAAGAAGTGTCTATAAACTCTCCGCCACTCTTTTTAATCGCCAAGTTTATTTGTTTTACACAACGTTTGTAAGGAGCTGCAACCATTACACCATGTTCGACATGATATCTTAAGTAATAATAAATAAAGGGAAGTGCAGCTCGCGAATGAGAAGAAGTCACCCGACTTCAAATGTTTTCCGCATTACAAAGGGCGGTTTGACTTTCGGCGCGGGCGGCGCACAAGCTTATCGCGGGTACGTTTCCTTATAAAAAAAGCGTGATTACGGAATAAAGTGCACGGCCTAAAATTGTGTGCATAATTTCGATGGTCGTAAGCGCGTGTTGTAGGGACGGCACCGCTTTTCATATGTTTGTGTACATAAATATTAAATATATAAAAAAGTCCTCGGCTGCGTCTCCACGTAGGACCAATAAATAGTATGATTCCTGGGAATTATATATATTTTTCCTGTATAATTCGTTATAGTTGTATTTATTTATTAACATTTTGTTGCGTGTACAGAAATATAATACAATTGACATAATTAATAAAAAAGGAGTGGGCAACTGGTGGACTTATCGCTTACGTGCGATCTCCTTCTAGCAACCACGTGCACATGAATCACGATAATTTTAGATCAGTTAGTACGAAAGTTAGATACGATGTGGACAGTTAATGCTTGTACTAGAGATTTAAAGGAAGATAGAGAAGGAGCTACGCGAATAGGGACGGTAAGTGAATTCTATAGCCTCACTGGAAATACTTTAAAGGATTCGCCAAGAGTTATGACATGGGATTTCAAGGATATAGTTTTCGGAAGAGCGTAAGCCATAGCTATGATCTCCCAAAAAATTGAAATCGTTTTTGAAATAGGAGTAGTTTTAAGACTGAACGGATGAAATATATGAGATAGTTGTATGTAAATTGACAGAAATAAAACCATTTTAGTTGAATATGAAAAAACCTAATACACAAAAAAGCAAACACACAACTCATCCGAATCGAATAACCACGACAAGTTAATTAACACATCTTCGAATTGTATATATTCAAATACAAAATCTTAATGAATTCTTCCCTCTCGGAATTTGTATTCGTAATATTCCGAATTGACTTGGAGATTCGAATAAATTACGAATTCTTTTTATTCAGACAAGCAATTATTATGATTGCTTATTTAGGATTTTTATTACACTTCGAAAGGACTGTTACAAGGGCGTCATGAGGTTAACCATGAAAAGAAGTAGGTTTTAGGTTATTTAAATTATACTGATTTATTTAATCTATATAAATAAATCAGTGGCGCTACAACCTTTTAAAGTCTGGGCCTCAGAATTATGTATCGTTTTCATAATCATTTGTCAATCTAATAGGCAAGTAGGTGATCAGCCTCCTGTGCCTGATACACGCCGTTGTCTTTTTGGATCTAAGGTTTCCTCACGATGTTTTCCTTCATACAAGTGTGCACGTAGAAAGTCCATTGGTGCACAGCCGGGGATTGAACATACGACAGGATGAGAGTCGCTGAAGCCACTAGACCAACACTGCTGTTTATTAATTCTATACTTGTTTGTATTTTATATAAATTTCTGGTTATCTGCAGTCTAACTCTTCTTGCACTATAATATACATCTCTTATGATGGTTACCGAGAAGAGATCGCTAGCGATAAAAGACATAAATATGGTTGTACTATAGTGTTTATGCAAGTGCATTGAATAAATTTAAATCAATATTCGTTCTCACGTCCAGATCCTCGCTAAAATAAACTATTTTCAGACCTTGGGGTCTTGTCGCTCGTACAGTAAAGGAAAATATCCTGAGGGACCGTCATGTCTAGAATCCAACACCTACGACGTTATGTAAATTTAAATTGAAAACATAACAGTACTTTAATACATAACATGTTTAGTTATTTATTTATCAAACAGTCAAAATCATTTATTCATATAGCCAACACAATGTACACTTATGAACGTCAAAAAATAAATACATATTAAATGCTTCTTATTTTACATTTACTGCCAGTTCTCAAATCAAGGGCGTAGAACGGAAGAGAAGAACTGGTTCCACATGACTTTACTAAAGTAATTAATAATAATAAAATAAATTAAAACCAAAGATTTGTCCTCTATCAGCAGGAAGCATGGTAAAATAGGAGCACGCACTTACATTCTCTTGGGAACAACACGCAAATCATTGTCAATTGACATCATTAAATGAAGAGAAGGGCCTTATCGCTTTCGAGCGATCTCGAAAAAAAATAGTTAGAAGGTAAGCAAGAATTGCAAAAATAAATGTGTACCTAACTAAACATGTTTTAAAGTATTGTTTTAACTACATAGTCGCACACACACAGTTGCTCATTAACCTTAGTAACTTAGTAATATTAATTTATGTAAGTCGTAACTTAGCGCTTCCTTCAAAAATTGCAAACGTAAATCAATTTTTGTTTTGTTTTGTATTATCAAGATAAT